TAATTATTCGTGAAAAAGAATTGTCGTAATTCGTAGCACGGTTTTCTTGAGAAGTTTTCCACTTCAATAAGTATATTTGGCCAAAAAGCACACCGTTGATTTTTCAGTTTCCAATTAAAGTTCTAGTTAATTTTAGACGTAAGCCCGCCTCTTTAAGCACATAGACTTAGATTTACCCCCCTGGATTCTCAATCACCCCCCCCTCCTGATACATATTGCGCAGTCCCTTAGTGTCAATATTATTTAGCTGTCTTGTCATTTATTTGTCCTCGTTCTCTTTTTCAAGAAGAGTCTTCCCCCATGGAAGATATATGCTCTTGTCGTGTGCATTGTGTTTATATGCCGCTGGTATCCAATAATTTGCAGCCCACTTGATGCCCTTCCGGATTCTACAACCTCCATGTACACTACGCATATCGCGATCACCCAACCAGTCGCTTTCCTCGTCCATGAGGTGGTTGTACCACATGACAGCAGTTCCTCTCTTTGCCTTGACCACAAGGTTTGCCGAGTAACAGAAYTCATTCATATTATGAAGGTCCCTGCCTTGACGTCTGCTGTTAAAGACGTGCTGGAATTTAAAACAATATAAAAATCTATCAGTCAGAAAAAMCAGCAATTTTCAGGCACGGGGCAGTTATTTTTGCCTTCTCTTCCTTTGGGAACACAAAAACGAAAAGATATCACCACTCCTCATATAAAAAAATAGAAAATTTTTCTTGTTCTTCTTCTAATCTTGCTAAGTTTTATAAAAACGAGCTGAGAACAAGACAGAGCAGACAAAACAGCCGGCACTTAACGTTAACTTAAAAGTTCGATACCATCACTTTAAGAATTGSGGCAAAACTTCCTTGAAGCTCGAACTTTAAACTGCCGCTCAGCAAATGCCTGTCCGAAACAAATGTYTGAGTTTGATAAACTTTAAATCTGTTTTTCCCGCAAAATACCATCAGATCTCGTTAAGCACCATACACAGCTTAAGGTGATAAACACCTTTAAAAGCTATAAATTGTATTATCAGTGTTTACATGCATAGAAAATACACAAAATATACAGATTAACTGCTTAGTGAAAACAAAATGGTATTTGATGATGCTGAGCCCTTTATCTCGCTGATTTTATCGATATTCGTTAATAACAATGGCAATACGATTTTACGATTGGTTCTCCTTGACGTAAAATATATTTTCAGTTATTTTTTCACTTTCCGTTCTCTAATTTTTCCCTTCAGGTAATAGAGTGCAAACACTAAAACTGTGCAACTTAATTACCACTAAATACTGCTAAATYATGCTAATTCTATTGTTTTCTATTGTTTAATTAACACTATTTTGTAGTAAATAGTGGAAAGTATTGCAAACATTTAATGTTTGTACTYCAGCATTTGCGTACGTTATTACGTACGTACGTAGCCCTTGACGTTTTTATCTGTGTTTATTTACGCATGTCTATCKATGGACTGTTTACGAACTCTCTACGGACTTACGTCTGCATTAATAGTTGCGTTGTCTGCTAGAGGAAATGCAGTTTCACCTCCTTCTTCGACGTCATTCAAATAAAACAGAATTGTTATATATCTGAAAGCAAAATGTTGTGAACAATCAGTTTTATGAGAATTTGCGTAATGCGTGCGCTTAACACAGCAACGCACGATTAAGGTCAAGTCGATCGATTGCGTTAACTTTGCCGCGACCGGGCTTCAATGAGTTCAGGGTGTATCGGCCCTTTGAGTWAATCACSCATAGTKCGCACTTCAAAGTCACGCTAACATTGTCTCTGCAATCATGATATTCCCACCAGACGAGTGACACAGGCTACCCAAGCCTTCCTCGAATGTACTCACCTGCATAATTTACATTTATTGACACCCAACTTATTTGGGTCAACCACAGGCTTCTGGTGACAGCAAGGGATCTCGGGATGYTCGTGGGTCTCCGTGTCGTAATGYGCATGGTAATGKCCATCAACAGTGTATCGAAGAACCTGAAGYGAACGGATRAGAATGAATAAAAGGATGAAACACAATGGATGATTGATTGAAAAGAAGGGATAGATGAATTTGCGGGTTGTGCGTTATGTCATAACCACCATGTTGGATGAAGATAACAATGAATTCCTCATTAGTCAYYKTTCTTTTATCCAAAATGGCGACGAGTTTGATAGTTCATGATCATTCTCAKGGGATTTTTCCCATAGTATTGTAATTCAAGAATACCTGGAGATATTCGCTGCCATAGATTATCTCGCTTGAAAGGTTTGTCAGTGTCTTGACTCTACAACATTCAACAACATAAAACAWGTACAATAATAATGATACATTGTACTTTGGCGAAAAGGTGCATTTAATACGATGATATACACGACATCACTGCACGATATTCATCTATTTGTCATTGCAATCATAATTCTCCGAACTTTGAAAGTTGAAAACATCCCCCAAATAAATCCACAAAGGGACTCCATAATAAGTAATGTCACACTTGCGCAAAACCCAGGCCACCTCACTATTGTACAGCACAGGAAGACCGCAGAAGGTACCTACCTTTCCTGGATCTTTCCAAGCAGCCCGTAGTCAGTTTTCTGGTCCAGCCATGTCTGTTCACTATATCTTTGTCTGTGCTTTGGATGTGATCTGGTCATTTCGTACARGTAGCTGTCAATCAACATGGTATTCATGGTGTCAAACTCTACCTTGCTGATAATTCCTGGAAATGGAATTCTAGTTAGAGTTTATTGAATAGAGAAACCGGAAAGGGAAATAAGTAGATAAAAGACTGATGCTGGTTTATCGATAGTAATGTTCCCATTTCAAAATCAATTCAACGTACTTACCATCGTCAAGTTCTGTCATGTTCGAACTTTTAAATCTAAAAGTCGAAAAAAAGATATTAGACAAAAWCTCTAGACCTTTTAACGATTATTTGCCGAAAATCTTGCCTGCATAGCGTGAATGAGTGGAAAGTGAAGGAGTGGGGACTGGGATGGAGACCGCGCCGCTCAGCAGGCTAGAAATGCTCGTGTTCATTAAACTAGGAATTAGGAAATGTCACATATAGATCATACTTACATGCCTCTGATTTCCTCTTCAGTTAAATACAAAAATCGCTGTATGGCAGCAAACTTCTTAATCTGATGATAAAAAAATATCATTAGAACAAACGCAGGAAAACCAKRAAAAGAAAATCAAACTAAATACTAAAAAACAGCGGCTATTGAGAGACAATTTAATTGYCAGTATCAATGAACCAGAATGCAAACAAGATGAATCCACCTGAGGCTATTTCTAATTTGATTTTTAATCTTGATTGCGTTCTGGTACATTGTTACTGACAAATTGACACGAAATAGCCGCTATTTAGTATTTAGTTTGATTTTATTTCATGTTTTTTTCCTGCGTTTGCTCTCCTATTAGGGGAATTCATGTGATGTTAATGTTGTCCTTTTTTTACCTCATCTATTGTAATCTTTCCATCCATGTCAAARTCCCAGCTCTCATACATTCCACGTTCTCCATCGGCCTTTCCTCGAACTAATAAGATTACATAACGAAAAAATAATGAGRCATCTCSCTACAACGAGRACACCATACCTCTCGTCACAAACAAAATGGATASACAGAAATTGAAAATTAGTGAATGATAAGAGTATTGGGTCCGAATACCGTCCCCTGCGGAACACCTCATTTCACAAATWAAAGTMAATTRGACATCAAATTTTGAACATCAACTTTCTAAAGGCGTCAGTTCCAGTGGTCTTATCTATATACGGTCAGAAAATGGATGCCAAGTTTGCTACACCTTTGAGGAGTATGGATTTTAAAGAGTTGACCGACCAATGAGCCTGKGAAGTGTTCTTTTTGTCATTTAAAGGTTGCAATAAGCATTAAATCAACTACAAGAGTGTCCAAGTCATTATTCAAAACAGGCAACTCATGATTCCATAAAATAACCACAAAATATTTAATGAAAACATCAGGCTCAAATACATACTGTTTGATGCGAATTTCCASTCATCTATTTTTGTCAGTCCACCTTTAGCAATGCTTGAAAACATCTCTGTCTCTTTAGCTCTGTTAATGATGTAGTTACATTCTTCTTCAGATAGGAAGTTGGGGATTTCTATATTGGGTGTAAAAGCACAAAATGAACAAAAATTGCAATTGGTAATGCATGGCCATGCATCCTACTAAGGGCCGGTATTTCAGTGTCCTGTTCGGAATGGATTACATGCGTCTTGCCCTTTCCACGATGGAAGTGGCGGAAGTTTGTGAAATATTTTCTTACCGAAAAGTAGCGGTCTCATAGCTCTTGTTATTAAGGTAGCTTTWCCATCTTCTCCTAAATCAACTTCTTGTTGATGTCCGACCTAGCAATACAACAATGATCAAAACCACATGCATGGCCCATGGCGAATGTCAAAATCAAATATCAACTAACATGCTGTCATCATAGATTCATTTTAAATGGCTCCCTGATAGATCAAAAACCGGTACCATTGAGATAATACAATAGTATATACGATATACTTGGATTTCTTTCCGTAAAAACGCTTTTCAGTCATAAAAAGCAACATTAGGCCATTATTTCTTTTTGTTTATCATGGTATATACTTCCATTATGACTAGTGTTCATGTAATGTTTGAAAATGCACGTGCTACCATACACGTTCTCGTCAAATTTAATACTAAGTTAAAAAAGAAACTCGCATTGCACACAGAAAAAAAGTCTCCTATGAGATAGGAGGTTTCTTTTTTCTTCATCGTGTTCTTCAAATCAATTTAATGCAGGATTCTGTCGTAATCAAACGTCGTATACTTGTAGTTCGTCAACCACAACACCTTTCACGTGTACAAAAATTATTTTTCAGTAAAACCGTTTAGATGCTTACGAAGTAATGAATATATGTGTATATACGCACAGAACGATGCAACAACGGATTATAATGAATATCGTCTTACCTTGACACCATTAAGTCTATATAACCCTTGGACTCGCCCTATAATCGTAGGGCCATCTTTTCCACTACATCGATCAAAGTCACACACGTTTTTCGGTGGAAAGGATATGTGATTTTGAGAGCCCTTTAGTCCAGATAAACAATATAGGAATACATAGTATAAAGAAAAAAGTGAGTTTGTTTTAAACTCCATTTGAAACTAAAATGTTATTGTTGAAAGGTGCAGGTCGCGTAAATCTTAAGCGATTTGCATGGAATGGAGCAACGTATTTCATGGTACCTGCAACAGTTTATTGTTATATAAAAAGTAATGAGACGAAGACATGTAAGATAAAAAAAGATAAAACAAAATGTTTTTATTGA